GGGGGGGGGGGGACGCACAGGCAGGCAATCAACGAGCCGCCCCTCGTCTCCTGGGCCGGGCGCGGGGCGGCGACGAATGGGAAGGGCAGGCGGCGCCATTGGGGCGCCGCTGCTGCTATTGGATGCGTGCGAGTGTGCAGCCAGCTCAAGCACGCGCGTGGAGCGGCCCGCGGCGTGCCCAGCCCCGCGCGGCGCCGCGGAGCCTAAAAAGGGCGCGAGCTGCGCACGCGGTGTTGAAGTAGGCAGTGATGCGGTGCGAATGAGTGGGCAGCAAAATGCAGGCACCTCAAGATCGTCAGGTCAGCCAGTGGCGGGGGGTATCTTCCCCCCAAGAGAAAATTCATGCGATCAGTGCGTTGATCCCTGTATGAAGGACCCCGGGACACACACCACCCTCAAGTTGCGCATTTTTGCCGCCAACAAGCTTCAGTGCGAGTTCCACCCGCCCCAGGCCCGCGCTGAGCAGACACACCAGCGTGAGTCATTTGGGCGACTAAAAATCAAACATTCCGCGCTGCGCAGTCGCGCGTACCGACCCAACTGTAATCCCGGCCCCAACAGGGCCACCGTCGCCGCGGCAGCCAGTCTGGGGCCCGCCCGCAGACCATCTGCGCTGCCAGCTTGCGAGCGCCGCGGGGGGCAGTGCTGGGAGCAAGGTCGGAGCCTCGGCGCTCCGTTTTGCCCGCTCTGGAAAAGGGTGAGTTTGGCCGGTCGCGAGTGCGCACCGACGGTGCGCGGGCTGGGCGAACTGAGCCAGGCAAGGGGAGACCTTCTAGAGGAGGACCCGTGCAGCGGCTCAATCCCACCAGCAGACCTCCGCAGTGAAGCCCTGCCCCCCATGCCGCTTGGGCCCGTGCGAAGAACAAAGGGCAGCGTATCGGGGCGGCGCGCCCAAAACGCAAAGAAAGACAAGGCAGGCGCGACGGGAGACCGATGAAGCAACGCCCACGTTATCATGAGGGAACCCCTGCCCAAATCGCAGCAGCCGACGCGCCAGTCAACGCCGCAGTGCCCCCATCTTTGACCTGCAGCCAGCGGTAGCCCGGCCGCCAGCAAGCCTCCTGAATTGAGAGGCGCAAGTCCTGGCTCTGCCCTGAATTGCCCATGGCCGCCATCCCAGGCCCGATCAAAGGTCCTGAATGAAAGCGTTCTGCTCTAGCAGCTCCCTCTGAGGGTTCGCAGCAGCCCCCGGGGGCCCCGACTGCGCTCCTGCAGGCGCCGGCGCCGCCCTCACCGCCGCCGCCGCTGGCGGCCCGCCGGCCACGTCGAGCGCCGGGACTTGCGGCGCCCGACGCGGCGGCGAGCGCGCGGCTGTGCCGCCGCCGATTAGCCGATGCACCTGCAGCTGCATCGCGGGGTTCCCTAGCCGCGGCGGCGGCGGCGGTAGCAGCGCGGCTGCTGCTGGCTTGTGCTGCTGGTGCTGATGCACAGGAGAGCGCCCCAGGCCGCCAGACGGATCGGAAGGGCTGCGGCGGTGCTGCCGCGCCGCAGGCTGGCCGTCTGTCGACCCAGACACGTGCCCAAGGGACGCCGCGGGCGCCTGTCCCTCCGCCGACGCGTGCGCGCCGCTGCCCTCGCGCGCCGACTCGCCACCGAACACAGACGTTGACCCGCTGTGGGCGCCCGCGCCGCCGGCGCTGCTGCGGCCGTCGCTGCTGCGCCGGCGGCCCCGCCCGAGGCCCCGGCTCAAGCTGCCAACGCCGCTGCTGCTGCCGTCCGCGTCGCCGCCGGCGGGCGTGGGGTCCAGGCCGCAGCCTCGTATCAGCAGCTCGAAGCAGGACACCAGCGCGTCGAAGCCCGGCCTCTTGGCAGGGTCTGCCTGCCAGCAGCTCTGCATGAGGGCGGACAGCTCTGGGGGCAGGCCGGGGGGGATGGGGGGCCGCGCCCCGCGCAGCGCCACCTGCTCAATCACCTCCGCATAGTGCAGGCCGTGGAACGCACCGCGGCCTGGGGATGGGGTTGGGGGGTTGTGGTGAGTGTTTGCGTGCAAGCGTGCGTGCGTGCGTGTGTGTGTGTGTATGTGTGTGTGTGTGTGTGTGTGTGTGTGTGCACGTGCGCACGCCAGCGCGTGTACGCATGGACGAGCACACAGGGCAAAGGGAGTCGAATTGGAAGGCGGTGCTTCGAAGCATTCCAAAGCTCCAGCTCAAAAGGCGGGCACGAGCCTGTCCGCGCACACCAACCAAAGGTGGATGCGGCCGCGGCACAAGAACTTCGACGTCGGCTGCCTCGCCACCCGCGGCACGCCCGCTCGTGCATGCAGGCGACCTGGGCCGTCCCTCCCTCCCCCTCGCTCCGCGTGCTGCTAGGGCAGCGGCGCAGCAGGCGCCCACTCACCCGTCAGGACTTCCCAGGCCAGGACACCAAAGGCGTACACGTCGCCGGCGGGGCTCATGCGGCCGGTCCTGGGGTGGACCCAGATGGTGAAACGTTAGGGTGGGTGTACGGCGTGCGGGGCCAACACATGCACACACACGCACAGGCATGGAACCGTTTGATGAAATCACGACGCACCGCTGTAGCCACCCCCGAGCCCCGGCGCCCCCCCTTCTAGTCGGCCCCTCAGGGCCGCAGGGCTGGCCTCACTTGAAGAGCTCTGGGGGCATGTGCGTGACCGTGCCCATGCTGTGGGTGGTCACGTGGGTCTGGTTCAGGCCCAGGGCCTTGGACAGGCCTGGGGTGGGGGCGGAGGAGGGCGAGGGCACAGGGCGCAGTACAGGGGTGGATGCAACCAGACTGCCAGGGCCAGCCAACCAGCCGCCGGTCCCACTCAGAGCCAAGCGCATCTCAACCCACCCTACAAACACACGGTATCCAACCAGTCAGCCGGCCAGTCGGCCAGCCGATCGGTCGCGTTTCCGTCCGACTCTTCCCATCAAGCACATCCGCGCCGCCCACCAAAGTCTGAGATCTTGGCGCTGACGCCCCAGGGGGCCCAGGGCGCGCTGGTCAGCAGCACGTTCTGGCCTGCAGTGTCGCGGGCGCCATGGTGCGCGTGGTGGGGAGGCAGGTTGGTGGAGGGGAACGGGGGTGGAGGGGGCTTGAGGGCACGCATACGGTGGGGCCGATGGTGGGGCGGGCAGGACGGCCGTGTGCGGCCGCGGCTGGCGGGGATGCGAGCAGCTGGGGGGCACAGGCTGCGCGCGGCGGCGGGCCCGCGGGCGAATGTCATCCGGCGGCTCACACTTGAGATCGGCGTGCACCACATTCCTGCGGTGGACGGCACGGAGAAAGGCGCAAGGGGCGGGAGCGGAGGGCGGTCGAGCGGACGGGGGCCGGACTGGATCGGGTCGCGCTGCGCTCATCGACGTCCAGACAGGCGTAAGGCATGCCACGCGCCGCCCGAGCGGAGCCCCGCCCCGCCACGTCACAGCCGCCCGCACCTGGCGTGGAGGTAGGCCATGCCTCGAGCCACATCGAGCAGCAGCACCAGCGCGCGCGGCAGGTCAACAGAGAGCGCCGCAGCGCCCGCGCCGCCGCCACCCCCGCCGCCTGCGTGGCGGCTGCTGCCAGTCGCCCAGCTGCTGCCCGTCGCGCCGCCGCCGCCGCCCTGGTCCGTGCCGAGCCCCGCGTCCGGGTTGGCGCGGCCGCCGCTGCCGCGGGCCGCGCGGGCCCAGCCGGGGCCGTGCGCGCCGCCGTGCAAGATGCCGTCTTCCACCGCGTCTGCCAGGCTGCCCTTATCCGCATATTCCAGGACGAGCCACGTCTGTGCCTCCCCTCGGATCGACCCGCTGGTCCCCCCGCCGCCCCCCGCGCGCGCCGCCGCGCCCCGCGCGCCGG